ACTCCGCAGGACTCACCAGCAGCCTTCGAAAGCGGCGGCAGTTTCGCAGATCGCAGTCCCCCAGGGGCGGCGAGGTCCCGCTCAGGTCCGCGCGGTGCCTCACTCCGCAGGACCCACCAACAGCCCCCGAAAGTGGCGACAGTTTCGCAGATCGCAGCCCCCCAGGGACGGCGAGGTCCCGCTCAGATCCGCGCGGTGCCTCACTCCGCAGGACCCACCAGCAGCCCTCGACAGTGGCGACAGTTTCGCAGACCGCAGCCCCCCAGGGACGGCGAGGTCCCGCTCAGGTCCGCGCGGTGCCTCGCTCGCAGGACCCACCGATAGCCATCGAAAGTGGCGACAGTTTCGCAGATCGCAGCCCCCCAGGGACGGCGAGGTCCCGCTCAGGTCCGCGCGGTGCTTCGCTCCGCAGGACCCACCAGCACTCCGCAGTTTTGGCAACAGTTTCGCAGATCGCAGCCCCCCAGGGACGGCGAGGTCCCGCTCAGGTCCGCGCGGTGCCTCGCTCGCAGGACCCACCGATAGCCATCGAAAGTGGCGACAGTTTCGCAGATCGCAGCCCCCCAGGGACGGCGAGGTCCCGCTCAGATCCGCGCGGTGCCTCACTCCGCAGGACCCACCAGCAGCCCCCGAAAGTGGCAACAGTTTCGCAGATCGCAGCCCCCCAGGGACGGCGAGGTCCCGCTGAGGTCCGCGCCGTGCCTCACCCCGCAGGACCCACCAGCAGCCCTCGAAAGTGGCGATAGTTTCGCATACCGCAGCCCCCCAGGGACGGCGAGGTCCCGCTCAGGTCCGCGCAGTGCCTTGCTCCGCAGGACCCGCCAGCAGCCCTCGAAAGTGGCGACAGTTTCGCATATCGCAGCCCCCCAGGGACGGCGAGGTCCCGCTCGGATCCGCGCCACCAGCAGCCCTCGAAAGTGGCGGCAGTTTCGCAGATCGCAGCCCCCCGGGGATGGCGAAGAGAGGGCAGGAGGCGAGAGGAGGCGGGAGGCGGGAGGAGGAGAAGAAGGAGAGACGCGACCACACCCCTCTATTCAAAACGAGAACCCAACCAAGGAGGGTTGGGAGAAACATCATAGCCGTCCACGCGCGCGTGCTTCAAGCGCGCCCATGTGCGCACTGGTCCACGAACCGACCAATTTACGAGTGCGAGGATTCAATGCCGCGCCGCGCAAACTACGACACGGCCCAGCGAAGATTTAATACCAAATCATGATTCCGAGAGTAAAGGTGGGCTGACAGAACGACTCCGGTTGTCGCTACGTTAACGGCGAGGCCGGTTGCGAAGTTCAGAGGCATGGCGTCCGAGGTGCCGACCTCTTACTGCGCGGACGCGCGCCTAACGGTACGGCAGTAGTGCGCCTGATCGACGTGCGCTGCAAGTCGCACCGCTTGCGTTCCAGGTATTCAGCTGAAGCCCTAGCCGCAGCCCTAGCTTAAGGCTGGGCCACTTACGCCAGCGGAGTTGCAATCTCCTAGAGATAGGTGGTCTAAGCATAAACAGGGTATCCTCACTATATAGATGTCGAGTCTGTCGTCAAGTCCCTATCAATTAAGGTCCTGAAGAAGCTGGCCAGAAGCGCCCTGCTCGGACATCACGACAAGTGGTGGACCGAGGAATTGTTAATAGCGTGCAGTGGTGTGGTAGACGCGCTATAACGGCCGACGGTCATGCTAATGGCTGCATCGATTGTGAGTCACTACTGCAAGTGCTAGAGAGTACCCAGTCATTTAAGAATGAGGTAAAGAGGTATACACCATACAGGGGCAACAAAGCATTGCTGATACTGCCTTGTTTCCCACGGGGCTAGCGGATTCTGTGCATCCAGGGCTAAGTTATATCTTTCGCATTTTCGGAGACGAGCGTCATTTCGGTGCCGGCTCGGGCGCGGGATGTCTTTTTCGCTTTCACAGCGCGCTTCGATGCCTGACAGTTTGGGCAGGCATCCCCCTAATCTAAGATGGTCGGTCATGCGGTTTGCCCATGACAGGCCCTGATACCTCGCGCCGCCCTCGTCTTACCTTGACCTTTGTATTGTTGGGTGCTTTGTTGGGGTGTCGAAAAACGACCGCGCTCTCTCCCTCTTTGCCTTGTTACCAGATATGCTGTATTCTTCAATCTGGGCGTAGTTCGACGCTCGGCCCCTCTCCTCCGGACTTTCAAGGCAGGTCAAAAGGGCAAAGGTGAGCATGACGAGGGTCTTGCCCACGGGCGCCGTTGTCTGGCCTAAGATAGCGCCTTCTTATTGGAAGACCTGAATCTGAGCGTCGGATAAAGGCCACACCCACGATGTTTCATCTTTCTCTCTCGCTCTCTCGATGTCACGTCTTGTCTCTCATCTCTCGTCCTGCCCTTTATTGAAGGATGAGCTGTGGGATGCCGTGCTACGTCTACGAAATCATCCTAAGCCGGGCCACAGCTTTCACCGTCCTGATCTTCGCTTTTCACAATGGGAGCTTTGATACGTTCGTCGTCCCCCCTCAAGCGGGACCATGGTTGCCAAAGGGTGGGGGAAGAGGAAGTGGGGCGGTCGAATGTTTCGTGCGTCTCTTACCCCTGACAAGCGGGGGCCGGCGAATCTTCAGATTCGGGGAACCTTGCAGGACTCTTTAGCCAAGCGTGGGGATTTTTGGAGAACTCTGCCGGATCCATCACGAAATCCAGAATTTCAGGGTCTCGTTTGGTTTTTCGTCGGGAGTTCTCAGGGTTCCTCAAGAAACCCAGGGGTTGTTTCCAGATGCCGCCCGACAGCCGCTATTTGCAGCAGTTCCCCGAACAACAGGTTTTTGCGCATGCGACTTTTACTCGAGCCTCTAAGGAATTGCGTGGCGGTGCCGCGGTTTCGCCATGTTGCCGCTCGTTGCCGCCCGTTGCCGCCACGTTGCCGTCCTTTGCCATCCGTTGCCGCTCGGTCCGCCGAGGTTTTGCCGCGTTGGCGCCCGTTGTTGCCTCGTTGAGACGCGATGCCGTTTGTGGGAGTTTGTTGAGGTTTCGTCACGTTGCTATCTCGTCGCCGTTCGGTGTCCGTCGAAGTTTCGCCACGTTGCCATCCGTTGCCGCTTACAGGTGTGCCGAGGTTTCGCCACGTTGCCGCCCGTTGCCGCTTCGTTGCTCCCCTTTGACGCTTGGGGGTCCGTCAAGGTTTCGCCATGTTGCCGCCCGTTGTTGCCTCGTTGCCTCCCGTTGCCCTTTGGAGGTTCCGCCGAGGTTTTGCCACGCTGCCGTCCGTTGTTGCCTCGTTGCCGCTCCTTTCCGTTTGGGGAGTCCACCGGAATTTCGCCACTTTGCCGTCCGGTGTTGCCTGTTTGCCTCCTGTTGCCGCTTGCGGGTCCGCCCGAAGTTTCGCCACGTTGCCGCCCGTTGCTACCTCGTTGCCGCCCGTTGCCGCTAATGGGGGTCCGTCGAGGTTTCGCCACGTTGCCGCCCGTTGCCGCCTCGTTGCCGTTGCCGTTTGTGGGGGTCCGCCAGCAGTTTCGCCACGTTGCCGCCCGTTGCTGCCTTGTTGCCGCCCGTTGCCGTTCGCGGGTGTCAGCCGAGGTTGTGTCATCTTGCCATTCGTTGCCGTTCGGGGGGTCCGCCGAGGTTTCGCCACGTTGCAGCCCGTTGCCGCCTCGTTGCCGCGCGTTGCCGCTTCTGGGGCCCGCCGAGGCTTCACCCGTTGCTACCTTTTTGCCGCTCGCTACGTTTGGGCGTCCGCCGAAGCTTCGCCCCACTGCGCCTGTGTCGTCCCGTTGCCGTAACGTAGGTTGCACCACATAGTTTGCACCACATAGCTTACATTACATAGCTCACACAGCATTTCCATGCTTCCGCAGTTCAATAACTCCTTGTGTGGGGTCCACGCCAAGTAACAGTGTAGAATTCGGGAAGGCATTTTTCAGGATGTATGGGGAAATCGCTATGGGTTTCCCAATGTTGCTGAGGGAGTCGGGGAGTTGTTTGTGCCCCTGAGGATTCGGCCCCTCTCTTCTTCTTTGCGATTGCGTTCTCTCCGTCGCGCCAATAAGCGTGTCGGTCAGGCTGTTCGGGTGTAGACCTCCTTTCGCGTCACGTTCGGGACGCTACTCGTTCCCAGCCGTGGCGGGAGTGGGGGGCAGTTGGTTTTATTCCGGAGGGAAAAATACCCAGACACAACCCACCGTCGATTCCCAAGATCATATGGGAAACTATGGGAGATGTGGGGGAAGACAACAGCCTAGAACATATTGGAACATATGGGGAATCTTGTTATTTGTGTCCATTTATCTGTGTGTCCCTGGGCCCCTTCATTTATGTTCGCAGTCTCGCTGGATACTTCTGCACGTTTCGTTACTGTCGCGCAGCTCGAGGCCCCCGGGCAGCTGCACGGATGGAGGGCGGTGGTTCCCTTTTCAAGGTCGTGGTGGGCTTGGGCACCGCGTGCATGTTCCAACTGTCCTGCCAGGGCCTCCGGTGTCGACTCCGCTGCGTCTTGCCGCGGTGCGCGTCCGAATCCTAATCGTGACCGTCGGTGCCTGTCGTAGAACGGATCAGTGTGGCGCCATCGGTGCTGTGTGGTGTGCTCCCTCCTTGCACCCGCCTCTCTGCAGCCACGGCGCCTGAACAAATCATCACCTCAGGCTCTGGGCTCCGGCTTTCGAGCCTCGGAAGCCACGCGAAGGCTGGCGCAAACCCGTGGCTGCCAGAGCGGAGCCCCGGGAAGTCGTCGTTTCTTCCGGGCAGCAGTTCGCTTACCATCTGGTGCTCGGTGTCTTCCCTCCGGGACAGCCGCTGGAGCCGCCACGGACGCGCCAGCCCCCGCCGAGCTTCTGAGAGCCGGCCCTCGGGCCTGGCTCGGGGGCCCCGCTCGTGGCCGAGGCTCCCGGCGGCCCGCCCCGGCACGCCCGTGCCCCCCTCCGGGCGGCATGCCGCCTCCCGCCCGCCTCGCGGGCCGTGCCCCTCGGGAGCGCGCGCGGACCCTGCCCCGCGGAGCCACGGCGGGCGGAGGGGCCTCCGCTGCCCGCCCCCGGCGCGCTCCCAGGCTCGCTGGCCGCGGAGGCGTGCTCGCGGCAGCCGGCCCCGAGGCTCGCGGAGCTGTTCGTTGCTGGGGGGGGAGGCGGGGCGCGGGAGGGGCTTCCGGGGAGAGGGCGAGGCGAGGAGGGAGGGGGCCGCGCGTTGCCAGAGGTGTCGCCCGGTCCGCAGGGTCCCCAGGGTTTCCCGGGAAGGCCCCACGGCCTCCAGCGCACCAGTTCTGAGGACCAGATGCCCCAGGCCCTGCTCGATCGAATCGAATCGGACTGATGGACGCCTTCGGCCAGGACGTCTTCGAATCGGATCGATCGGATCTGATGGACGCCTTTGGCCAGGAACATCCTTTTGGCAATTCCCGACGGAGGAGGGAGCTGCACGCATTCGGGCCAGGCATTCAGATAATTATGCAGGCGCGGAGGGCGGGGATGGGGTAGACGCAATCGGGAGCCTTGAGACGGGGGTCAATGCAAACGGGGGTCGGCCAGAGCGCCCGATCTTGCAGGATCCTGCAGGGCCAGAGTCGCTTTGACCCAGGTTTGGGTGCAGGATCCTGCAGGATCTTGCAGGATCCTTCGCATTGACCTGGTTGTAGGTGCAGGATCTTGTAGGATGTTGCAGAATTCTGCAAGGCCTGACTGACCTGGGTCTGGATTGACCCGGGTCAGAAGATCCCCGACGCAAGGAGACAGGGAACGAGCTTTGAAAGCTACATCTTTGAGGCGAGCACGCGCGTCGCTACAGCAGGAACCGCATCTTCCGAACGAATTGGGTTGCCTCGCTTTCACTCTTAGGAGCAGTTTAATTACACGGCTGTGCGCGGCGCTCCAGCGAGAGCCGCTTATTTTGGGAAACAACCGGCATTCCATCCTAGTAGCTGCTGGTTGTATAGCTCCAGGATCGTATACTGTGCGGGCCCCTTGGGCGAAACGGCCAACACCCCGGCCCACGGGACGCGTGCGGTGGTGCGACCCCCGGGGGGGAGTTGTCTGTAAGGAAGTGGGAGCGAGAGAGGGAGCGGGAGCAGGAGGAGGAGGAGGAGCAGGACAAGCAGGAGGAGGGGAGCAGGAGGCAGGAGGAGGGAGGACGGAGGACGAGGAGGAGGAGGGAGAGGGAGGGAGCAGCAGGAGGGGCGAGGATAAGATCAGACAAGCGCCGTCAGGCGGACCATGAGGGAGGAGCAGGAGGGGGGCTTCTCCTTGCTCCTCGCCGCCCGAAGCAGGCCGATCCGCCGGCGGTGGAGGCGCCGTCGCCCCGCTGCTCTTCGGGGGGCCAGCTGCAAGTCCGAGTGGGGTGACCTTTTGGTGCTGGCCCAGGCACTTTAAGGGTAGCTCTTCGGGAGATGTTATAGAGGATTGGGAGTATAGCCTGCGCGCCGGTGCTTTGCCTCAAGGCACGCGCGCCCTATTTGCCCGGACACTTACCTTAGTGTTCGCTACGTGCTGGAAAGATCACTACATCGATCTTATCCTATCTTATCCATCCACTCCCCATATCGTATTCCTTCGACATGGAATTGGATGCTATATGACCTGCCAGAGTCATCTCAGACTTGGTAGCGGAGCTGGCCGCACTCTCGTGTGGTCAGCTCTTGCTATTCTTATCCTCGCGCTACCCGGCACGATCTTCGTGACCAACCTCTACCCTGCGCCACCACTCCACTTACACTTACGAGGATCAACGCAACAGCAAGAAGCAACACGAGAGGTACGACGTCTAGACAACAACATTGGTACAATATACGCTTCAACACTACGCTACTACCAACCGCTCGGCAACGAGCCAAAAACGCAGTACTTGAAACGTAGGCGGGGAGACCCGCAAGATAAAACGCCTCGCAGACTTGACAAGGCGCTACAAAGCTTACCCCAGCGCGGCAACGCGCCTGATAACCACCCATATCTTCACAGCCTAGGGTTGGTTATTTTCGCCATCGTATGGTTTGCGCTGGGGGCGGCAATCGGACACATGCGTCGAGTAGACAATAGCATAGATGGGCAAACGCATGGCCCATACTGGGGCCCTCAAGGCAACGTACCCTTTCGCGAGTACGTTTACGAGGTCAACGCGTGGCTTAACGTCACGAGTGGACGCATGACGCCACAAGCCCAAGCAGCCGCCATGCAACGCGGCCTGGGCGGCCTAGCGAGGACACTCGCCATGAGGGTACCACCTGACATCATAAACTATGGTGCGGACATCGATGGTGTCCACACCGACCCAGTAACCTACACCATGTTCCTCTTAAGCATGAAGTTTGAACGCCTGGAAGATGAGCGCCAGCTCACTTCAGGCACTCAGCTCATCGACTTTCATGTGCCTCACGGAGAACGAATCGACGTAACCCTTACTCGGTTCGAGATGGCCCGTCTTGAGGCGCAGTCGGTGGGTTTTGACCTTCCCAACTTCCAACTGCTCACGACTATCCTGTTCCGCGCCCTAGGCGTTGGCAGCCAGCGAGCCATGCAACTCTGACAGCCATTCAACCACCAAGTGCCCCGAACACAACAGCAGTATGACGAACTGTGCGAGAGGATGCGTTCGATAGGCCATTTGTCAGAACGGTCTCCTGGCAACATAGGATCAGTGTTTGGAAGGGGAAGGGGAACTGGCAGTGGACATTTCTATATTACCTTAACCGCTGAAGCTCAGCCCGGCAACGGGCCCTCAAACATATGGGCCGACGATCCTGGAGAATTGTTTTCCCTGCTAGCAGGGGGTCGGTCACAACCAAGCTGGGCAGGGCAACCAGCCCTCCTCCTAGAGAGCCTCAACCTCACCGTTCTCTATGGGGTGAAGCGAATCCCCCAAACGACGGTATATCCACCTACGTAGGTAACGACGACTTCGACTCCGGCACCGACGCCGACACTATATCATCAGATGGTATCGAACCCCTAGATTGGTCAGATATCATGCACATGGAAGGTGGCAATCAGCGTGCCGAACATCTGTTCTGGTTACTACAACAAGCAAAGCGTAGGTGGAGGAGGTTTACACGAAAACCGCTGCGTCGTGTTAGGAGGAGGATTCGGAGGAGTTTCAAAGGAAAAGGTAAAAGGCAAACGGGGCCGCCGATGGTTGACCGGACGAGGCGTCGCGGCGTTCTTCCAGAGGCTTTCAGATTATCAGTGTGATGAGATATTTTCGGGGGAAAAGGCAGTGGAAAAGGCCGTGGGGGAACCTCGGGCAAAGGTAAGGGCAGGCGGGGGAACCCGCGAGGTAGAGACGGCCAGATCTTGAAGTGCCATGAGTGTAACAGTACCGATCATCTTGTACAGGATTGTCCAGCGAAGGGAAATGGAGAGGGTAGATCGACCGAAGTCCATTTAAGCTCAAGTGAACCGTCTATTGAATATCGGAGCCTCCAAGACTTCGAGGCCGTGGAACAGATATTTTTCACTTGGGCTAGCAATATGGACAAATTGGATGAGCTCGAGGCGTGCGGCCATGGGCTTTACGCGTGCTACTTCGAGCACCTCCGCATGTTTGTCCTTGGAAATATCGAGCTTGCGCCTGTGGAGAACGGAGCGCTGGGAAACCAGCCCCTTTCTTTCTTCGACTGGATGTTTGGTAACCCGGGCAATATCATAGCCTGCGAGAGCAGCGACGAGGAAGTCACTGTCGAGGCCTCGCCTTCGGAGGTTGACCGCAACCTTCGACGTCGGCCCGACCTCATGCCTGGAAACAGGCCTACTCCAGTATATCATCCAAATTATGGTGATCTGATGGAATCAGAGGCTCAAGCATTCTCCGTGGGCGTGCCAGGAAATCCTCACGTGCCACCTGGCATGCTCGCGCCAGGCGAGTACGGACCGTGCGCGGTACTGCAGACTCTCATGCAGATGCACGCTGTACTGGTCGTAGCATATCCCGAGAGTCAAGAGAGTGTCGAGAGTGGCCACATGATGCTACAAGACACCGATGCCTGTGACGACTCGGAGTTATTGTTGGCGGCCCTAACTCTCATCGGCAGCGTGCGCCCTGAGGACGTGCAGCGACATGTATGGTGCTCTAGAGGGCGATGGCGCCAAGCCCTTGAGAGGGCTATCGCCGTGCGTGGACAGGCGCTTCCTCCGCCGGGATGGGGTCTCCAGGCGGTGAGACTACAGCCCAGCCGTGCGGCCATGCGACATGTTATCGGGCAGCCCTCATATGATTATGATATGCTTGAGGAGCACGCTGTGCTCGGTAACGGGCCTGCGCCGACTACCGTGCCGCCGACTCCGGGACAGCCAAGCGATGCCCAGACGCCCGTGCAGCAGGGAAACCTGCCCGTCCCGTCTGGGCCAATGACCATTGTCATTGGCAACCCTATGTTAGAAGCTGAAGAAGATGACGGATGTGGAATGTGCGAGGACGAAGCCACCATCCTCATGATGGAAACCAATGGCGAAGACGAGGAGGTGGACTTCGACCCAGATAGTCCTGACGCACCACCGCCCGCACAAGAACCAATTGTGCCGGACTCCAGTCAGCAGGGGAACCTGCCTGCGCAAGATGTGCTGCCTGAGGCCTCGCAGAACCCCCCGCCGGTTCCTATTCAGGCTACGTCGGCGGCATCATCTGATGAACGTGCCGGGGGGTCTCGTTCACATCCACGCCTTAGGGGCGACCCTCGCCCTCAAGCACGGCTCCCACGAGAATGGAGGCAAGCAGCCCCATCAGAACATGCCTCGCGACGAGGGGGCCAACTTCTCGCCTATAACGACCCCAGGCGCCAAACGGGTGATCACTCTGCTTTTGGACAGGGCAACCCGGCCTACAGGGGCGCCCAAGGCAGGTCCATACGGGGTGGATATCAGCTCGCGACGAACATTCGACGTGCCTATAAAGAAGTAGCGCGGAGACAGCTGAGAGCCATCATTGAGGAGCGCCGCCACTACAGGCCAAACGCGGTCTGCGGTCCTTGCTCGCAGGACTTCCAATAACACAGGCCTGGTTGTCCCGTAGGCCTCAATGACGCTTTAAGCCCGAACAGAGGCCGCATTCCTGCAAAAGAGGGTCATCCACCATTGGTTCCTATGACCCAAGAAGAGATCGATGAGGTCAATCGTCGTCTCGGAACCGCGGCTCACAGGAGCTCTA